TATCAATTTAAAATACATATCATTATTCATATTTTTGCGTTGCGTGTGGTCTAGTTATATTTTATTTAATAGCAAGTTTAAAGCCTTACCTATTACAAATAGGTGTTGATTATTTTATTTACCTATCCCGTTATTTTTACCACTCACGTACTGTGTACTGTCATTGGGTGGATGATGTACGGTTATAGGAACACGGAAAGCTGCTTATTGGTTTTTTTCAATCATTTATTTACAAAACATTTATTCTAGTACAAAAAACGTGTATTAGTTTTTACCTTAACAAATAACGAATTACATTTGTAATATATGTATAAAATAATTGTTAACAATAAAAAAAAGTATTTTTTTTTTATCTTTATTAATAAAGCGTATATTGTTATATTTAATAATAAAGTGTACATAGAATTATGAAACAACTGTATTTTAAAACAAATATTACATATACATAAACTCCATTTTACAACAACATTGTTGGTTATTCATGAATATAATATTTATTATTTTTAATTATTGTTTGATAGAATAAAATGAAATAAACTAAAATCGTTAAGGACGCACAGTGTTTAAATCATAAATATTTTAAAAATAAATTATTTCACATAAATCTTTATATTAATTATCCACGAAACAATAATTTACTCAATTCCTTTTGAATATTAATTTACGTTTTTAAATTAAACAAATACATAAAGGAAGAAATTATTATGGATGATAATAGTATACGAGTACATTGCAGACTTGATAAGAGATTAAATACAATGTTTGTAATAATACAATTACATTATGATACATTATAACTAAAAATATAAAAACTTTAATGATTTAAATATCATTTTAAACAAATGTAAAAAAAAAAAAAGAACTAGAAGATAAAATTAGCTTGCAGACTTGTAATGTATACTATATATTAATATATTATATACATTACAAGTTGTATTTTAAATGAACAGTTAATGAAAATGTATGGGTAGTTTGACATAATATAAAATTATTAAAAGTAAAATTGTCAAATTAAACATTAAACTGTCAAATTGATAATATTATATAATTGAAAATAATGTCAAGACTTGAATGCAATAAAATTTTGGTTTGAAATCATTTAAATCTGCACAACTATTGTTTAAGTGACGTAAATCCCTGTAGGGATGATGGAGTATGTTTAATCTATGACCAACAGACGACGAAGAACAAACATGTATTTAACCTTATATATTGACCAAAGAAAGTCTGATGGTTTTAAATTAACATTTAACAGAAATAACCAACATTTAAGAGAACATTTCATATACTCGTGCAAACGTGCAATATAATAAATTTGAATTTAAGAGAATCAATTTTGTGTTGTACTGTTGTTACCTTTGATGTTAGATCTAATTTGTCTATTATTAAACTTAAAAGCAAGAACATTATCTTTTATTGTAAATCGGCCATTGTGATATTTTAATACTTAAGTGAATTTAAGGTCTAATAAAAGAGATTGAAATTAAAAAATACAGACAATTCACTCAAAAGTGTAAATATTGTAAAACCGACAAATAAGCACATATAATATTACTATTTTTGAGTTTGGTTGTATAGGCCAGGATGCTTTAATTTCAAATTAACAAATAATGTAAACTAATATAGTTAACAGTATAAAAATGGTTCTAATGTACGTAAATCTATCATGTTGCATGTTTTTAAGTCGAAGATTACATCCGAGTATGACGCGTACTCTAAAACAATATGCATACAAGTCACTCAACTAAAACTTAATGTTAGTTGTAACTATTATGATTATTATTCAAAGTATTATGCATATGCGTGATTATACGATTTCACCGTTCAAGTTAAAGTTTTTTGTAGTTGTAGTACTTAACTGTGTAACGTAGTAGTTGTTTTTTTATAACTCTGCAGTATTTACAAATTATTGAAAATATCGCCCATCTATTTTGTAACAATTTAACCTATATTGATTACATTGTCTATACATACAATTCATCCTCATAATAAACATTGTAAATCAATCTTTAATTAATTTTAAATAAAAAAAAAATAATATTCATTGACTTTCAATCTAAATTTGAAGAATATATATAGGTTAATAATAAATTGTGTTTCTGGTATTGTTTTTTTTAGTATCCAAGTTGATCAAATTTAAACATCTGGAAGTGAAAGATTTTTAGAGTATAACTTATTTAAAAAAGAAAACGTTCCAGAACCCTTTCGATTTTCTGAGAGTCTTTTCGACTATAGGAAAACTATATCATAGATCTGTATTCTAATATCAACCTTACAAATGAAGCATTTAATATTTTGAGACAATTTTTTTGATTTAGATCTACTAACGTATTACGACGGATAAAGCCTAGAGGACGTGAAGCTTTACAAAAGTAATAAATGTAAAAATTTAATATGGTTATTAAAAGATTATAATGATACCAGTTAGTCTCCTTCTTCTTTACACGAGACAAGCTTTTATTATGGATTAAGTAATCAAAATTTATCATCTCACGTGATCTGAAAAATGACATGACATTTTTGAAATTTAAGGAAAGTGTAACCATTTTACACCGATTGACCACCTTAAGAATAGTATCTTATAATATAAAGCACTCCATTTGGTTGTTTATTTTATAGAACATTTTTGCATTATTTGCAAATAGAATAATTTTGTATAGCGAAATGATCTTTGGCGTGGTATTTATAAAGATGTTGAATAAAAATGGTAATAAACATCCACCTAGTAGTACGTTTGATGCAGCTTTTATATAATCAGATTAATTTTGAAATAAATAAAACAATTAAATTTTATTGGCAAGGTATGAATGAAACCATGATAATGATGAATATTCAACCTTTAATTGGTCTAATTTAAGGATTAATGTATTATGCTATTATGTATCAAAAGCTTTTGAAAAGTTGAGTATATGACATCACGTCATAATATGACTAAGTAAACTTTTCATAATATGTTTTTTGATATTGTTACTAAAGTATTATACCTACTTAATTATTAATACTACGACAAATTGATTCAGCTCTTTTAGAAAACATTGCATTTATTTTAATATTAGTACTTAGTTATTATTATAATAATAAATATAATACTTACCATATTATATTATTGTTAGTAATTTTTGATTTAATACTGCCTTAACGTAATACAGTGTAAATAGGCCCATACATTAATAGTATATACATTTAAAATATTTTAATTTAATCTAGATATTTTTAAATGTTAATTTACGTACAGTAAAACTAAATACTTAAAAGTTTTAAGTCCCCATAAATAATTTTTTTTAAATTATAACAAGATCATTAATATCATTTTTTATCATTACAATATATAATTTAATCTAAATTGTAACTTAAAAAATCTTTAAAAAGAATGTTTTGTTTCAGTAATTACCTATGAGAAATATAATACATATTTTAAAGCTTAATCATAAAAATTGAGAATTTTATAAGTTTTTGTTACAAAATACTTGTGGATTGTAAATTTTAATTTTAATAATTTTTTTTAAAAAGTTGTATTTTGAACGAATAATAACTATAAAAAATGTATGTAAATGTTTTCTATACACATACAAGAACAATTTATATGAAATTTTTTAATAAATAAATGTTTAAAAATGTTGACCTACATCATTTAGAAAAAAAAATGAAAAATATAAATTTATATAAATAGCTCAAAAAGGTTTAAAATATTTAGAAAATTATATTATTTGTATGAAATATAAAATTAAACATAATTTCACATATTATTCATGATTATTTATTTTTTTATAATAACAAAAAAGATATTGTCATTATTACCAGTTTTGCATGAAAATTGTTGTTCTATTACTTGATTGTATTTTATTTTTTTCGAAAAATAATTGGAAATCTTTTACTTTTTATCCCCTAAAATAATAACTAAATTCAATTTTTAGCCAGAAGTCTTCCTCAAAGCTAAAAATCGAAACATTTTAACTGCCTCATAGAGCGTTAACAAACAGAAAAAAATATACATCATCGTAAAATTAGCACACCTAATAAACATAAAGAGCAATAAACCCATTTTGAAAAATGTTTAATAAAATTGTTTATTATTTATTACTAAAAGAAAAATAAAGTTGTACAATCACCATTCTGTATAATTTACTTTTTGATCATCCATGGCATCTAATTCAAAATCTACTAATAAAAGAAAATAATTTAAATTTTCCTCAGTATTACCTTAAACTTGTTACTTGCGTATATGTATGGATTAATGTCTTAATTATTACCATAATTCATAATTATTTTGTATTGCATGTATGCAGTTATAATTAATCAAGTAATTTAATTTGTATTTATGAATATACTCTGTATTACTATTATTTATTAAGATAAGTATTGAATTGTTATGTTACTAAAAAGTGCCGAATTTTATCAATATTTAAGTTATATAATCTGCGTTAATATTGCATATACAGTGCGCCGTTTTTAAAAATGTTGTGTATAAAGTAAAATTTATTGGTTTATTAATTATTTTAATATTATAGTTAAACATTAATAACAATAAAAATAATAATAAAAATTATAAAAAGTGGTTGGTCAATATAATTCAAATATCGTCAGCAATAAAAATTTAAAAAAAAAAGAAAAAAATAGCTATGTAAAAATATTTACGCATGCATATTTCGATTAAAAATTATAATAATATACTTAATAAATTAAGTATTTAAACACGACGTACATAAACAATAACGAGTACTCGTTAAATTTTAAACTATATTTAACAAATCTCAAATAACATTATTATAATAATTACACTATAAAATTATAATAGGGATAATTGCAGGAAACAACGTTGTTTAGTATTATGTACGATAGTGACGATTCAAAGTTTCAGACATAAAACTAATCTTAAAACTGATAGTTTTAAATACATCTTTTAATTTTAAACATTTTAGTAAACCAACATTTAATTTAATAGTATATAGGGAATATACTGTACAGATATAATTTAATAATTGTATACATTGTGTTTATAGATCGTTGAGCAATAAATTCGAGTCAATTATCGAGAATAAACCACTAAAGACGAGCGGTGTTCACAACAAAACAGCTCTTCATTAGTTCCACAAGACTTGGTCTAATTGAGCTTATGAATGTTTAACATGAATACTAACCTAGAAGTAAGTTTTTTCGATATTTTAATTTGTACGTTTTTACAGTAAAAATTATGGACTTATCTATGTTTGAGTGTTTTAATAAATAATAATATAATTTAAATTTCGTACAAAATCAGCTTTAAAGTCATCTGTTTGGTAAAGCGTAAATTATGTACTAATAAGGTTGTAACATGGTTATACCGGTTAATTGCTAAATAGTATTTAAGTTTTATTTTCAAATAATCGATGTGAGTTGTGTTTATTAAACAATAATACTTTCGCATCATAAATACATGAATACTGAAATAATAAGTCTAATCTTATACAATTTAGTTTGAAATATGATTAAAATTAAACAAAATGAATGTATAAACTGAACGAATCATATAATTTAAACTTTACAATGATGACAATTTTAAACTTATCTCAATCTATAACAAAATGTGGATGTTACAAAATCGACGATTTATAAAGTATGCTTAGAACTGTCGTGTATAAGTCGGTACTTGTAACTTCTTATCAAAAGCTGGTATTTTGGTGCGTATTTGAATGAATGTCGAAACGGAGTAACATACTGATAAAAAAGATTTACAACAAAATTTATCACTCGTGAAATCAAACGTTTCCGATCGCGAGATTTAAAATCTTAGAAGTGCAGTTATAAATGTGGATATTCTACGTATCTACACAATAACGCTTGATTTATCGTCTTCGCTGATTTACCATCCATAATTACTCCGATCTATCTATTCGTTTTCTATACAGTACATCAAATTGAGTATTACATTTTAGTAGGTATGATTTTTTTTAAATACAAAAGACAATGGCCGTGATATATATTGCGGAATCTTTTCCTATTACTATAATTTGCCTAATCAACATTATTATATTAAATTAACGTCAACGTTAATAGCGATGCGAGTCAAAAAAACTGATTATTATTACACTTTTTTACTTGATGGATAATTTCATTAGTTAATCATAAAATTAACTGTTAAGTATCTATCAAATATTTTCAGCCTTTTAACAAATTTAATCTCATACAAAGTTTCACTCTTATCAAGAATTCTTACCGATTACTCTAAATTTTAACTTGTATTTGTATCTAACTCCATCAAACTTTTTTTCCTAAAATAATTCCAAAATATTTCTTATATTTAAATAATCATCTTGATTATTATTCTTTTGAATACTCGCTTTAAATCACAATTCTTTATTTTTTTTCTTAAAGCATATAACTGTGATCCATAAAATATAAAAATTATCTATATACGTTATATGATACCTATTTATTCAATTTTAATGTATATTGTATATAATATAGTATATATATATATAAATAAATATACATAATCGAACTTTTGTACTTTTAAATAAAACTATAAAAGTTAAACTCAATAAAACTGTATAGTGTTCAAACCTGATAGAGCTAAGGAATTCATATTTCCAATTGGGATTATTCTTTTGCGGATCTCGGTATGAACATCATTCAACTGTAAAATGACCTAAATCTATATTAGTACTGTATTAACTTAATAGTTAATATAAAGTGTCTTTAAAATGGTTATGACTGTAGTAGCTGTGTCGTCATAACAATAATATCCTTTTGCTCGGAGAGTTGGACATAGACGAGACGCAAACGAGTGCACTCTTTTATTCCATTTATGCCGTTTCCTCCACCGCCACGTCACGTCGTTTGCCGGCAACAAATAAACGTCTGCACGGTTAACGTTTATTTTTTTTTTTCTTTTCTGTCATTTTTTTTTCTTTCCCCATGCAGCCGACCATATTCCGCCATGATGACGGACCAGACGATTTGTCTTCGTCGTATTATTTTCCCGCGGAATCTCTTTACGCTTACATTTACGGGATGTCTGTATGTGTACGCGCGCGTGCGTATATTAATACACGCCTCCACGTCGGCTCGATCTCTCTCTGTCACCATGTTTATGTATATATAATAACGTTTACCCGTTTACAAAACAATCGGAACAGCCGGAGACGATTGAGCATTTGAGCATCCGTCGGAGAGAGTATGAGATAGACGCACACAGAGTCGGCGTTAAAAATAGCTCCGAGGAGGGATGTCGATGAGGATTGGGGGAAGGGAATCCTCCAACAGCGCGAGCGTGCACAATCGATCGGACGACCCTCCAACACTCGTGGTAAAGAGAATACTGGCGTGTGATTGTCTGTATTATTATTTTTTATACCTTTAAATTTATATATATATATATATAGATGCGAAGCCCAAATCTTAGTCCTAATATTATAACGGTCTACCATTTATTTTGTTTCCTTAGCTTAAGCTATATGCGTTTTGAGCGTAAATGGTTTGCTTGTTAGTTTTTTTAATTTTTATATAAAAAAAAAAAATAAATAAAATAATACTGCAAAATATAAAGATGTACTTATATTATATGTATATATAAGTTTTAAGTATATATTTTTGATGTGTGTCATTATATTTTAAGAAAACGATTGTCTCATGCGTATAATATATGATCGACAGGCAAATATCTCAAAACAAATACCTTTGCAGTATATCACTCCATGACTCGATATAATATAAAAGTATAAAACATCAGCCATAATACATGATCATACGTAAAGATCTTTAATACGAGTATAAATTATTCCTTTACATGTGAATCGCATGTTAAGAAACTTCAATCGTCTTTTAAGTTTACTGTACGTTGAATATTCTATTTCTATAGAATTTAAAGTAAGAGCCATAGGACATGCGTTGTTATATAACGTATTACATTTCATTATAATTCTTGAACACTATATTTGTGTATTGTATGTATAACATAATAGTACAGTTTATATAGAAGAAATATTTTATTTTTTTTTTGTTTTTTGAGTATAAATAGAACATTTTGTTTTATTTATATCAAACATGTAATATCGTATAAAAAATGAATAATGAAAATGTGAATAAATAATATTATGAAATCAAATACACAATTTTTTGATAAACAAAAGTTTTTTATCAACACACATTAATAGGTAGTTTTACACTTTTGTCTCCTAATCACCAATTCCATATTTTATAATAATGTAAACCATTCAATTTTATTCAAACCTATATTTGATCAATTCTAGGGAAAACTACAAGTACAATTCGTCCATAAATATTGAATCAGTTTGGATAAATAACTTAAATAGATATCTTACCCGCATCCCATATAAGTTATCTCTATGATAGAAACGTACAACATAGTACATTTTCGTTCACTAGTTTCAATTTTGTATTGTTAACTTAACCATTTGAGTTATTCTATTTTCTGACTTAACAAATAATAATATTATTTATAGAATGCTTTAAAGGCTTTTATTAATATTTTAATATTAAAATGAATAATAACTGCAAAATATTACAATTTTAAAATTATTTATAACTATACAATAAATTATATTTTAAAAAGCTCATAACTTGCTTTAAAATTAACATATCAATATAAAAACTCACGAAGTGCCCTATATAAATATTTAAAAATAATAACTTCCTAAAATTGGTTCAGCTGAACGCAGACTTTCTATATGCTTTATTTGTAAAACGGAGATAATACATGCAGGATCATTCTGTTCCCCTTTTCAAAAAGATTTGAATTATTCTTGTCTACCACGCACCAAAAAAGTGGAATTTTATCTTATGAAATTAATTACAAATATTTTACCGATGTACAGTGTACAATATTTTTGATAATAATATGATTGTTTATTATCTATTACATGTAAAGTGTCGATAAAAATAGTATAACAATTCGGATACAATTATACGTATAAACATATTAAATAAACATACATATGACGTTATGTATAATACATATTACATTCATTGTTCATGCTCGCTATTGTTTATTAACCCGTGTATTTATTGACCTGCATGAGTATGTCACGTATTACTTTGTTTAGTGGTAATTTGCAATCCGACGATGAAACGTGCTTGGGCGTCACGAAAACATTCTTATCCAATATTTTTTGAGAAGAGTGAGTTTTCTTTGGGTTTTAAGCTTGATTAAGGATCTTACACCTACTCTACCAGCTACAATTATCCGGACATTTTTATTATTATTCCGTGCCAAAATAATGTCTGAGAGTGCTTTCTAGTTATCTTTTAAATTAAAACTTTTAAGTTTTATATAAATGAAAGACCCCCGATAAATGTAAAATCCTTCAAAATGACGTAAGGAATGTTTTATATTACAAATACAACGCAGTTGTAGTTATATATCTTAACTATATTAAAGTTGTATGGCTGATGCAACAAAACGAAGAAAATATTCTATAAATAATTAAATGTACACACAATATAAAATCTCAAATAGTACTACTAGTGTTGGTTTAAAAAAATAAATATTTAGCTTTTAGACGTATAATAATGTGTTTTAAAAGTAAGTGCACATTACAACATATATTTCTTTTGTCTTTTTTTACTAACAATGATACTTATTATGATAAATTAGTATGAAATTAAAATATATACAATACTGTTTTATATATATAGTTAGTAGATAATTAATAATTAACATAAATGTATAAAAATATGTGAATTGAATTGATATATGAATACCTACAGTCGTAGCGGCTAATAAAATAGTAAGTATTAAATATATTATTTAAGTTCTATTATTAAATTTGTGTTATTGTTTTTATGTCTTTACTTTATAATAGAATAATATAAAAGATTAAAAATGTTGTACAACTATAAAAGTTATAAACTTAAACAAACTTAAAATTCAATGGTTATAAAAATATTATTATTAATTATGAACATTTTTAAATTATTATATAAAACTGATATTTATAATAACTAATTAAACACCATAATTAATGACTTTGAAGGTCATCAATTAATTAAAAAAATTAAAAAATTTTTTTTTGTATTCGGTAGTATCTTAATGGTAAATTACATGTATTGTATTGATATTGTAGAACACTTGTTACAATATTAAAACTATATATTCGGGTTTTATGATGTAAATGAATATCTAAAAAAATAAAAACAAAAACCCATT